TGAGCACGTGATTTTTGCCCTATATGAATTATTCCCATAGATTCAACAAAATAATTTTTCTTCATTATTTGCAATCTCGTAGATTTTCGTAGCATTTTTGTTATTGTTTGCATTTGTCTCTATATGTTTATTTTATTCATGAAAATACAAAAATACACTGCATTTGTGTTTAGGATTTATTTTCACATTTTAAGGTTAATCATTAAATTAGATGTTTTATTAAAAATGAAAATCACAAAATTGGTTTAATTCTGCATTTCCAGCATTTTAATTATAAATCAATAATTTCCCTTTTAATTTAGAAATAATTAATTCTTGTAAATATTATATTAGGTTTTTAGCTTAATTTAGTAAATTAATTATTTTTAAGAGTTTTAATTTAGGTTAATTAATTAAAAGGGGAAAAGAAAAACAATTAAATAAAAGATAAGGAATGGAAATGAAGGAAAGGAATTTGGGCCAAAATTAATTGAACTATATCTATGCCCAAACATTTTGTCCTGGAACCCACCCAATTTTGGCCCAAACCCGCCCCAATATCCGGTCCAGCCCCACCGCCCAACCAAACGACGCCATTTGATATCCCCAGATCTGAGCCGTTGATCTCTTTCAATCCAACGGAAGGGAACTAGTTTTCCGTTAGTATATTAGTGTCCAAACGCACCCCCTAACCCCCTCATCGTCTCTTTAACAGAAACCCCAACCTACAAACCCTAATGACGTCGCCCCATTTCCACCGCCTTAGCCCGGCGGCGCCACCTCAAATCCACACCAGATTCACACCATAACACCCTCATCCCCCCTCATGTCGAATCCGTCGTTGGTTTTCCTCGAATCACCATGGAACTCGTCGAATCTTTAATTGGAAGTTAAGACCAAAAACCTAACTTCTCCCAAATCACTCCCAAATTGATATCCGAAACCCCAACACCTCCCTCAGGTTGAATCCACAAATATTTTCCCTCGAATGTCCCTTGAGCTTCTCGAATCTTAGAGTAAGGCATAACCCTAAAGCCCCAATTCCTCCCACTCAAGACCTTTGTGAAGAGTTCAGGTTCGGTCAGACTTTATTCGTGCATTTTGCTAAAAACACATGATTAATCTCTGATTGAGCCGAGATTCTGAAGATTCAAAGTTCTTCTGCATTTCTTACGGTATAGGCTGTTTTTAGGTATGATGTCTTTAATTTCTGAGTTCGAATTTTTTGAGCTCCTTTGTTGTCTGTTTCTGTTCTTGTGTGTGAATTTTGATTTTTTTTATTCTCTGATCTTCTGATACTTTGAACTTTTTGCATGTTTACCCATTTTGAGTTAATTAGTGTTTCTGAGCCTGAATTTTAGTTTAAATGGGTTTGCCCTTATATTTGGGCTTTTAAAGCTTTGGGTCAAAAACCTGTTGTTTCTGTTCCATCTTCTTCTTCCTCTTTTCTTTGAATTCCTCTATAAGACCTCGAGTCAAGCTGGGCTCAAAAGAAAAGGTCTGGCCCAGAGATTACAAGCCGAGACCCGCTAAGTAAATTTGGGTCAACTTGACCCAGTTGGTTTAAAAGGTAAATGGTAGTTGTTTAAAGGGTAGTTTGGGAAATTGGGGGTAGGGAATCTTTTGATAACTGTCTAGGAAGCTTCCTAGAAGCTGAAAAAGGCCTTACTTGGCCAGCAAGTCAGAAGTTTAGGGATTAAGCAGCAAAAATGAGAATTGAAAAGGGATTAAGGGAGTGAATATTAAAATCTAAGGTCTGCCCTAGTCCCTTGCTTATAAAGGCACCCTAAACTTTCCTTTCAAGGCAGACCAAAAAAAAGACCCAAGAGATAAAAGTTCTAAAAAAACAAATGGCTGAAAAATTACTGTTCCATTGAGTTTTCTTCTGTAATTTTGAGGTTTTCAACTTTCTGAACCAATTTTTGATTTGCCTGGGTTAGAAATGAATTGAACTCGGTTCTTATTTAAAATTCCAATTGGTTCTAGTTGTTTGGTTTGGTTAGCTGCATCCTCTGATGATTTAGAATTTCTGGAAAAACTGATGAACTTGTACATCTGAGTAGAAAAATGGTTTAAGCTTGTTTTGAATCAGTTTTCTGAAGATCCCTTCCTGTTCCATTGGTTTATCCTGGGCTGTTCGCCATTCGTTTGGTCAAATTTGAGCTAACTGCTGTTGCTTACTGCTGATTTCTCATTTTCTGTTTTCTTTTTGCTTCCTAGGTATTTCTCTATCTTTGAGCAACAAGCAGATGTTTACTATGTGATTCAAGTGAAATCTGATGAAATGCAAGCCATATTTACTTAGTTTTCTTTATGTTTCTTCTATTGCCTTCCATGTTCTGTAGTTAGAACTTAAATTGCAAGTGTAAGGTTAGACTTTTACCTTTACTGTTTGCATACCTTGAATCTGCGAGCAAACCTGTTGCTTGTAATGAACTTTGGACTCTAGTCTTAAAATAAGTTTGGGTGTGTCGAGTAAGGGAGCTGTTAGAACTTTGCAACAAAGGTTTAATATCATGTTTTGGGTTGGAGATTTTGTTTGGTTTATGCTAAAGATCATTCATGTTCTAGCTTTGGCTTTACTTGAATTCATTGAAAGGCTAAGTGTTGGCTGTTGATTCCTCCTCTACTGTTTGGAGTTTATAAATGTAGAGATGAACACTCATTTGTCTCCATAATGACAAGTTGTTGGTTTGCTTTCATAGAATAGGTTCTATTAGTACGAGAGTTATTTGAGGTTTAAATTATCTGAGGCTTTGAAAGTTAAGGTTGCCTATTGCATAGTTATTAAAATTGGATCTTCAATTGTTCTCCAAATGCATGTCATATAAATTGGAAGCTTAGCTAATAATAAAAACTCAGAATTAAGTACTAGTTCAATTTCATACTTTCACATGATTTTTTGGGTTGATTGGTGCTTAACCGATCTTATACTAACAATGGATTTCTGAAATCTGGGCTTAGGTTGGCCCAGCAAAGAACGACCCTCTTCGGACTCGTGTTGTGCGTCTTGAGTCCTTGATTTTGTTCTTTGAGGATTGGGTTCACCTTGGGCCCAAGTTGGAAAAGACTTGTAAGAACTGGTTATGTGTTTTGTACCGTGTGGGTTTGTTTAGCTCTGTCGGCCCAAGTTCCTTCGTCTGATTAGCTGTTGAGGAAGTAACTTTTCTTTAGATAATGGCTCGTTAAATAAAATGCCTAGGGGTAGTTAGTTAAGTTGAGCTTTGGCATAAAGGCATTTCGAGTCCTTTTAGTTTTTTTCTTTAATCAACTAGTTTTCTTAAAATAATTTGAGGTGCGCCATAATTAGATAACTCATAGCTTATGGCCCTCATTTAATTAACATGTGAATTCTTAGAATTCGAGGCGTGTCATTTAGCGAATTTTTATGGCCCTTGCAAAGTTGCAAACGCGTAGTTGCTTTAGGTGCGTGATTTTAATAATTTACCTTCCTAAACTCGGGTGCGCATTTATGTGACCCAAATCCAAATCTCAATGATGTTAAAATATGTCAAATACCACGGGTACATTTATGTGACGTGGTTTGAGACGTGTTTTAATAACGTTGCAATTTTCTCTGAAAAATGAATAAAAGCGGTTGATAAGTTAAAATTGAACCACAGGCTAAACATGTATTAAAATCAGATAATAGGCCAATAATAACAGTTGAGCGACCGTGCTAGAACTACGAAATTCGGGAATGCCTAACACCTTCTCCCGGGTTAACAGAATTCCTTATCCGGATTTCTGGTTCGCGGACTGTAATACAGAGTCAATCTTTTCCTCGATTCGGGATTTGAACTGGTGACTTGGGACACCATAAATTATCCCAAGTGGTGACTCTGAATTTTAAATAAAAATAATCCCGTTTCGATTGTCCTTTAATTGGAAAAACTCCCTTATATATACCCCTTTCGGGGGGTGTAGGTAAAAAGGAGGTGTGACACTTGTAATAGAGACAGATTCTGTGGAGGCTATCCAATCCATCCTACAGGGCAATAGGTTATATGACGATATTGTTAATGAATGCAGGTGGTTAATGCACCAACAGAAGGAGATAATCCTCCAGCACACATTCAGGCAAGGAAATAATGCAGCTCATCACATGGCAAGAAAGGCAAAGGATCAATTGGAAGGCAATAAGACTTTTGTTAAAGCTCCACCTTATGTAAAATATTTTGTGGAAAAGGAACTACTGAAACATTATGTTTTTGACAAATTTCTATCTTATGATGCTTGTAATACTCTAGCAAGCCAAGGTAATCAAAGTGTCCTTAGAGACACCAAGTATGCGTACAATGTACTGAACCCTACTTAATTACTAATATATATATTTCCCGTTTGCTAAAAAAAAATAGCTAAAACGTTGAACTTCACTCCCTATTCGAATAAGGGAAGGATTCATATTACAAAATTGGAGTACGTTGCAGAAATTCTATTTACTTCAAATTAAGTACTACTAAATATTGGACAATACTAAATAGTACAAAGGTCGTAACAATTAATTAATTTTTCGGGATATTTTTGTCGAACAAAATTTAGAGATACTCAAACCCCTTTCGAATACTTTTGGTACGGTTGTACTTGCTTTGTATTATGCTAATATTATCATTGTACGGACAGGGGTTCCAATTTCTCACCTTTAATATGGTTCTGTGTAGGAATTTACAGTCGTGTAGTTTAATCGAAAAAGAACTTCATCCTTGGATAGTTTTTTAAATATTATAAATATATCCACCTTTAACTTGCTTTATTAAACAAATATTTTAGCTACTTAAGGGCATAAAAGTCTAGTAATATTATGGAAATATTTTCGTCGTTCAATATTTAGTGTAAATTATTTGTGTTTTTATAATATATATATATATATATATATATATATATATATATAGATGATCTGCTAATATAAAAGAAATAAAAAATATTTATAGTGAAAGGTATATATAACCTGAATTTGAAAATAAGTTTACTTAATTTTTTTTATATTTATTATTCAATCAATCTTACTTATACGAGGCATATAGCAAATTGAGTTGGTCCTAGCTCGATTAACCGACCAAACCTATATCTAACACATCGCAATAAGTGACTAGCAAAGCAAAACCATCTATTCTCCAATTCGCAGTTCTCTTTGCGTCTATCCGCTGATCGGTTTTGCAAATCCAAACATAAGCACATGGACTCATCGCAGAATAACTTTGTCGGCGGCAACGGATTAATAAACCCTAAATCCAACGACGCATCACCCGCCGATTCGACGGCCGCCGCTGCTTCCACCGCCGGTTCACCAGCCGAGGAGTCAAAACAAAATCTCAATCAAGTCATAAATTCAATCGACAAAACCCTAGGAATTCTCCACCAGCTTTATCTCACCGTCTCTTCTTACAATGTTTCGTCTCAACTTCCCCTTCTCCAACGTCTGTACGTATAATTCTCTTTTAGCTTTGTACTTTCGATAATCTTAAATTCATGTGCCTTTTCTTTATTGCTTTAATTTTTTATTTTTAGGAATAATCTTGTGCTGGAGCTGGATAATATGGCGAAATTGGGAGAAAAATGCAATATTCAAGTGCCTATGGAGGTTCTGAAGTAATATACTTGTTTATGCTAAACTTTCTTTTGCTATTATGTTTTAATTTTGGTATTCATATGTGGTAATTTTTGTTATAGCTTGATTGATGATGGGAAGAATCCAGATGAATTTACGAGGGATGTGTTGAATAGTTGCATTGCCAAGAACCAAGTCACTAAGGGGAAAACAGATGCATTCAAGGTTATTTTTCACTTCAATGCCTGTAATACTGTTTAGAGTGTACCTTTGGCCTAATTGGTTCCTGGAAGTCTTAGAAATTTGGATTTGTATTTGGCTGTCTCAGTTTGACCTGAACCTTATTTTGGACAATTTATTGTGTTTTGTGCTTGTTTTAGCTACCTAAAGATCCTGAGGGAGAAAATGACCGGTGACAGAGTGTAAGATCAGTTGTATGTCATTTGGAGATAAAAAGTAGTCACAAAGAAGAGTATGCTAAATAAACAAGAAAAATATCATATAGAAATGAACTGGTAAAAGTTTAATAAGAATGGAAGGAAGGAGAGAGGCCTTTACCAAAAAGTGTGACACTTCTCATCTAAATGGTCGCGGAAACTTGTATTACTTCTAGTTCAAATACTAAGGACCTATGAAATGCCCCTTCTTTCTGAGTCATTTTTACTAACATATGCAATGGAGAAACATGATATAATATAATTGTCTTAGTGTACCTATATTCCAGACGGTCTTATGGACGTTGTTGCCCATATAAAAATAAACCATTGAGTTTTCGCTCCTTGCTTTCTTGATCTGTTTTATGGAAAAAGATATGTTTGAGCGGTGTTCTAGTTTTTGCGCATCTCCTTATTGCTCTCAGACCAAATTTAAAGCTCAAATTTAAAATATTTGTCAATTAAATAATTGTTTGAAGTTATTTTTGTTTTTTCTTGATTAAAAAAATAACTGCTTGAATGGTTTAGGGTTGGAAAGAATCTGAAGCTCTTAGAGCTAATCTAAAGCTCACTGAATAGATTTATTGAATGATGGAATGAGTTTGATTGGAAAAAAATTGGATAGTGGGGATTCTTATAGCCGTGCGCAGCTAGTTTACGGTTCAGGCTTACTTCTTATTGTTTTTCTCGTAACTGCTCGAATGGAAAGAGCTAGTCCTGCAACAGCTAAAGACTTCTACAATTAATGAAACAAGGAAAATAATCAATCCAATTTAAAATGATATTACTACTGAAAAAATTTACTTCATTCCGCTATAGTGCTGCACGGATAGTGCCTGTTAGAAGATATTCCTATAAGAACCTTCTGATATGCACTGGGAACTTTTACTGTGCAGGTTTAATAGGGAAAAAGGTGGAAACACTCATTAGGTTTATCATTTTGTCTTCGGCGTTCAACCTTGAGAGCGTAGACTTGAGGATAACTTTTGATATGCTACTTATCTCTCCCTCCCACTCCAAACCCCCTCTTCCCTTGCCTTAGGAAAATTTATATTGATCTTATTTACTGTTTTATCTTCTCGTGCGAATTTCTCTTCGGGAAAATCTCTTCCTAATGCTAACCTTGACCTTGCTGCGGATTATATGACAGCAACTACTAGTCTACTACTCTAACTTCTTTGCACTGCTTGCATTGTTGGATTCCTTCAACTGTGGTTTTCATTCTAGGGCCTTTTCCTTTGTTTTACTAGAGTTTTCCGTCCAATTTTGAAAAGCCTGGAATGTATAACTTATTTTCTCTTTTGTCACAGGGTTTGCGAGGGCATCTCCTGGAGGGGCTTGAACAGGCTTTCCCTGAGGAAGTGGAAGCTTATAGAGAGATTCGTGCAGCTTCTGCAGCCGTAAGTTTCATTTGCTTGTTCAACACTGCAAATGTTATGAGCATTTCAAATTAATATAGCGAGTGTATATCTATGAATAGCTGAAAGGTTTATGCTCCCTTGGTGACCATCTTACAGATTCAGCACAAATTACTTGATTTAGGAGATGTAGATGACCTTTTTCTAGAAATGTAAAGTCCTCTCATTGCCTGGGTTAGTGAAGGCCTGATCTCTTCTAGGATTATTTGGGAATGTTGAGACTCCATCTAAGGATGATGTTACCTTACAATGTACCGGAAAAAAAAGAATGTCAATTATCTTTCTGATGGGTCCTCAGATGCAGAGAATAAGGAAAATGCCTGAAGCTAGGCGGTTAATTTTTGATAGTTAAAAAAGTGTTAGTTGGTCACACCCTCATCTAAAAGTTTTAGCTGTTAGATAGAGGATGCATTTTTGCAACACACGCCCATGCAGGGTTGACTCTTTCTTTTCCTTTTTTAATTCTGGGGGGCCAAGCACACTGAAGTTCTTTCCGGTAATGGGTAGTGATGTGACTTGAGCCCAGGTTGTCTGCATAGATACCATGTTAAAATGTGTGACCACTTCATCTAAAAGCTTAAGCTATTAGATTGCGGGTATATTTATTTTTTTTAAGTTTGCAAAGGTAGGTTGTGGTGGTGGTTCTTAGTATGTTCCCCTCCTTTCCTGTGGAACAATTAACTGGTTTTATATAAATGTTAGATTGTATGCTTAGATCAAATTTCCTAAGTGAGGAATATTAGGAATTTATGCCCTCTGGAAATTATAGCTGGACAAAGTCAGTGCTGGAATTTCAGTTTGCAGTTTTTTGTGCAGCTTGACAGCATTGCAGTGTTAATTCAAGGAACATTCACTGCTTATCAAAAGAATTTGTCTTATAAGGTTTCACGATATAATCTCTGTGAGATTGATGCATCATTGAGAAGTATTTTTTGAAAGACTGCTATATACTTATTGTCTTGTTCAATTTTTTATGACACTGGGTAGTTGATATGCTTCTACCATAGAGCTGTTCTTGAAACTTTTGCCTATGTTATTGCTAGTTTCTGGTTGTCATAGCAAACATTTTATGTTGTTTCCATATGAGCAGGAAGCAAAACGCTTGGCTCAAGCACAAAGTCTGTTATCAAATGGAGACGTTAAGGTGAAGCCTGAAATTTAACAGCTACCTAGATGATGGAATTTGTATTTTCTAAGGTTATTTAGCTTGTTATAGAATGTAAAATGTATGTAATAGATCTACATATCACGATCAGTTTCATGATGATCTTCGTTGTCACTGAATGATGAAACATTGCATTATGTATAATCAACGTCCCCTCTGCTGCCCTCACCAGTGGAACTTCCAGAATAGAAAAGATTTAATTTGTGCAAACCAAGGTGGATTGGTTAATTGTAGACATTGCTGTTTTTATTAGATGTGACATGTGGAAGGGTGGGAGAAGAATGTTACTCGACTTTCTCTGGTTTCTTCTTAATGCATCTATTGCGTTCCTGAATAATGTTTTATGTGATCATGTCGTCTCTGATGAATGTTAATAAGCCTTTGAGGTCATTAAAATTACTATTTAGTTTTTCTCTGAATTCCATGCACCATACAGTTCAGGAAATTGACCTCATCAAATCCACCACCTCACCTGGACCTGAAAATGGTTGCATGAGCCTATTTTCTCATATGGTTAAAACTGCACCTTGGTGGACCTAACATCCTGACATCAGTTAAAGTTGCCCTAATCCAGGTGACTTACTANGGGGGGTGAAACCAATAAAATTTCCGTTATGGTGACCAATAATTGATATATATTCAAAGTAATGCAATTATCTAAATATTTAAGATTTAGAAATTACTCTCCAGGGGTGTCACCTGTCCAAGGAACGGGTACTAGTTTCGTGTGTGCAACTCGTTTAGATATTGAGCAATGAGCAACCACAAAAGCGAGAAAACCACTTTTACAGGCAATGATCAGTGCCGAGATTTCTCGCATTGGCAATTAAACTGTATTCAGCAAAATAATCCATGTACAAGCCCGTCGACCATGCGCTCTTGACTCATTAGGAAATGAGTTTCTAATATAGTACATTTAGGTAAAAATCTCTTAGGAAATAGCCCATGAATCGTAAGCTATATACCTGCCAGTGTTGTTACCGCAATTTTCATGGCCCAAAACATACAGCATCTCTTCAATCCAAGTATTCATGTTCTAATCTGGGTTGATATGACCTATGAGAATTCTTGGGCATGTAGTTTGAAGTGTTCTGGAAAAACTATTTCTGCATCCAAGTACTTTGGAGTATGTGAGAGAAATAACCTTAGTTAGACATCTTAAGTTTAGATGGTGCTTTTTTATGATTAGTTTCACCAATGGTTCGGTTAAAAATTTAACATTTTTTTTTTGGCGTTGGGATGACCAATTACGAGGAAAGGAAAAACGAAAATCAGAGTGATAATTCAAAAACTAATTTTCTATCTCTAGGATGCACCAAGTAGTAGTTGCTGTAATTCTCAACTATCTTACGTTGAAGTATCTAATCTAATGAAAGGATTTTCTCTCCTCCGTTGCAGTTAGTATTTGCCCTAGCATAGACAGTTATCGCTCATATATGAGGGTGGAGAAATCTCAACCCTAAACCTTACACGTAGCAAATTACTAGTACTTGAACTTCTGTTATAGTTATATATTTATGCTGTATGCAATAATAAAAACTAAAAAGAACGAAAAGAAGAAAACAACGTAATACAAAGAGCACATATGAGTTGATAAAAGAATAGTATATTGTTCATCGTACGGGGTATTTTTTAGGACACGTAAAAGCAATAGCATGAGCACCAAAGGAATGTAAAAGTTCTCGTTCAAATTTTAAAATTACTTGGGTTCTCAAATACGTCGGGTCGGGTCAAAATTGAGTAAAATACTACTTATGTTATGACTTATTCTACCACTAAATTGTGCGTAGTTGGAATTCCTTTACCATTAATTACAAGTACTAGGTATGAGTTCTAAGAATAGATAACTTCTTAGTAGGAAGTGTTGTATGTCCACTTTTCGTGCCAGACTCGAACCCAAATTAATCGGACCAATGAGTTTTAAATACTGGAAGCATATTAAAGAACCTATTCCACCCACAATATGGTCAGGTCAAATGTGAGTTGATTAACGGGTTGGAACGTTAAATCTTTTAGCGTAGAAATGGCGTGGGGTAGCCACTATTTAAGGTGGTATTTATTTTTTATTCAGAAATTCTAGTGTTGAGCAAAAATAGCCACTACTCTATTAAAATTAATATGAAAAGATATTTTTACCCTTTCTTCCATTGCTTTTCTTCCCAAACCCTCGCTTCTCTCTCAAGTTCGATACCCACTCATTTTTCGTTTTCTTTCCAGGAGATATCCTAGTTTCAATTTCGTTTTCTTTCCACGAGATATTTTTACCCTTTCTTCCATTGCTTTTCTTCCCAAACCCTCGCTTCTCTCTCAAGTTCGATACCCACTCATTTTTCGTTTTCTTTCCAGGAGATATCCTAGTTTCAATTTCGTTTTCTTTCCACGAGATATTTTTACCCTTTTTATTCATTATGCTTTGCTTTCTATCAGAATGTCATTTTTATTGACATTTAAAGAAAAAGGCAAATGTGCAAGGTCACAACAGAATGTGTTAGACCATTTGAACGAGAATTCACCAATTTGAGTTTTCACTTTTTTGACTCTAATTACAGATATCTAAGTCTTTACGTGTTAACCAAAGATCTTGGAATTATTGGCATGGAAACTAAGATTTCAAAAGTTAAGGACACTTGGTCCAGAACTTAGACTAACAAGCTCAAAAGTTAAGAATAATAGGTCCTGAACTTGCAGTTACAAATTCAAAAGTTAAGGATAATAAGTCTTGAACTTAGGCTATAAGAAGCCCAAAAGTTAAGGACAATAGGTCCTGAACTTAGACTAACACGCTCAAAAGTTAAGGACAATAGGTCCTGAAGTCCTGAACTTAGATTAACAAACTCAAAAGTTAAGGACAATAGGTCCTGAAGTCCTGAACTTAGATTAACAAACTCAAAAGTTAAGGACAATAGGTCCTGAAGTCCTGAACTTAGACTAACAAGCTCAAAAGTGAAGGACAATAGGTCCTGAACTTAGGATAAGAAGCCCAAAAGTTAAGGACAATAGGTCCTGAACTTAGGATAAGAAGCCCAAAAGTTAAGGACAATAGGTCCTGAAGTCTTGAACTTAGAGTTAGAAGTTCAAAAGTTAAGGACATGTAGTTCTGAAGTTAAGTTCAAAAGTTAAGGACATGTTGTCCTGAAGTCCTGAACTTAGAATTCCAAGTTCAAAAGTTAAGGACATGTAGTCCTGAAGTCTTGAACTTAGAGTTACAAGTTCAAAAGTTAAGGACATGCAGTCCTTGTGAGCACGTGATTTTTGCTTCACGGAAATTACTCTAAAAGAAATCAAAAAAAATAAAACAAATGGTTTTGTTGTACAATTTTTTGAATTTTACGTGACACTTTTGGCAGTTAGCTGTAGTTTTGTCGGTGATTTGTTTGGTTTTGTCAAAACAAAATACAATAATATATGTTTAATATGAGTGATAGTTGTTGTTTGAATATTAATTAATATTTGTGTGATTTTTGTATTTTTTGATTTTACATTTTTTAGTTAGGAATTTCATTTAAATCAAAATTAAAAGAAGAAAAAAGAAATGAGTTTAAAATCGGAATTGGGCCACTAAATTGGACCCAAAATCAGGCCCAAAAACATTGCCTTTGCCTGGTTCAGTTTGGTTGGCCTCAGGGGCACCCAAACGACGTCGTTCTAATCATATTTGATATGGGCTGTTGATCTCAGAATGATCAACGACCAAGATCACATATCCATACCCATTGTTTAAACCCGACCCGTTCAACCCCGGACCAACCCAACCCTCTTCAGTTGGAACGACACCGTTCCTCATTAGTTAAAAGATCCTGGCCCGCAATCTCACTTCATCCAACGGCCAGGATCTAATTACTCACTAACTATATAAGCCCAAAACCTTACCCCACGCCCCCATCCGAACACCCCCCTCCCTTGAGTCATCTCCCTCACCAGACCCAAACCTCACGAAACCCTAGCCGCCTTAGTCCCCTCCCGTTTGAAACCCGGCGGCATCAACGCCGCCGGCTACCATTTTAACACCCTAAGACCACTCAACCACCCTGAATCCAAATCCACCAACTGTTTAGTTCGAATCAATCCCTAGATTCTCGAATTTTCATTTGAAGATTCGAACCAAACCTCGACCTACACCAAACCCCCCCAAATCCATGCCAGGTACTCCCCTAACCTCCCTCGTGACTAAACCAGGCTTGGTTTGGTCCGAATCCAACCAGGAAAACCTGAATCCCAAATCCGCCCTAGGAACCCTAGAAGTCCTGAGTCCGAGTTTTTGTCCGTTTGAACGAGAAGATTAGGGTCTAATGGACCTTAATCGAAGTGTTCTCAGTTGAGAAAACTTCGATTAAAGTCTGTTCAACCCCAAAAGAAGTTTTGATTCGAAATCTGAGATAGGGTCTTCTGATTTTTTCAAATCTTTAAGGTATTTCTGCTTTTCTTTTCCTTGTCAGTTCATTTTGTTGTTTTGTTATAGTTAAATGTCTGTTCATATGTCCAAATGTTTCGTTGATTTATTTTGAATTTTTGTGTCGACTGTTCTGTCCATCTTGCCCGGACCCTTTATTTGGTCGAATCCCTTTTGCTATTCATTGACGAGTGTATGTGTTTGATAGTGCAATCGATTAAAATGAATTTCGATCGATTAATTAGTTCCCAGGGTCATTTCTTGTTTTGACAGTGCAATCTGAACCCCCTGTTCAATACTGTTCGATTCTGATCATTAGCTATTGATTGTATGTGTTGTAATTCGCGTAGTCGATTCAACGTATGTCGTCAATTAGTTTCAGCTTGGGATGACAGTAATCTGACTCATGCTTTTTAATTTTACTAAGCCATTGTTTGAGTTAGCTAAGAATTGATTTTAACTGCTCATGGTCTGGTTAGTTGAACCAAGAGTCATTTAAGGATTGGATTATAGCTGCAGTTCAGGGTTGAGTCTGAATTAATGGCATGTGCACTCTTGGGCAGCATGTGTATTATAGTTTCTTTATTGAATTAGAGCAAATTTGACAGCATGTGCTGCCAGGGCATATTCAGGCTGCCCATATTTGCTAATTAGAATAAGGGACAAGCCACTTTAGCAGTAAAGAAAGGGTCTGTCAGGGGAATCTCATGGGGAATACTTTTATTTTAA